CTTTGACCCTTATCATTTGCTTTACAATTCATAAACTAAACCCATAAACATAACCCATAAAGTCCTAATTGAAGTAAGGTTTAGTCCGAAAGCATACTCGATGAGATAACGTTTCCTGACTTCTATGAGCTATGCTCAATTTGACGTTGGCATTATAAATTTAAATTAACATCCTAACTAGTGATTTTGTCACAAGTTATCGCGATATCTATTTTCAAAACTTCAAGACAAACATACGTGTTGCATTAATCGTTTCAGAATTGACATTTCTGACTTGCTAGATTTGCCTGATGTCTTAGAAAGATTACGTGAAGAAATTACCGATTGAATTTGAAGACTTCGCTGACTTGGGGCAAATTATTTCGTCCAAGAGATTTGGTCCGTACAAGCTTGGATTCACATGTAACACAAGTTTGAAGACTCAGTTATACCACTAATTAGGGGTAGTTACGTCGAGCTTATGCGAATCTCTCCAAGGGTTTGAAAACAGTGGGGCATTTGGACGCCATGTTTTCTATAAAATCCTCTCAAAACGACCTTTTATCGTGAACCATGTGACTTGGGGCACTTGAGAGTCGAAGGGAGTTTCCGATTTAGCCTCACTCATCCAACATATTCAACAACTTTGTTAACCCAGTTTCCCTATTGGATGAATATTTATTTTATCCACGAAGCTTCTCCAATTAAGAGAGGGATCCGTTTCCGATAGGAAGATTTGAAGCCTTAAAGCAAGACTGTTATCTCATATATGGTTCTCCACCGGTCTACGAGTGACGTTTCTATCTCCGAAGACTGAGGGAATTTCAAAAGCAAGTGTACATTCTTCAAGCAATGTTTGATCTATGAAGATTTGTTTTGAGTACCCGGAATGTTTTTCATCTCTGTTGTTAGCATACGCATAACATGTAGATAAATAGCATGGCACATGCATTTTTGCATCTTTGTGTTTGTTTGTCTTGTCACTTTGGCTGTGTTCATCCCTGAGTAATTTGGGTGTGTCTTCTCCTTTAAGTAGTGTTGTCAGCCCTAGGTAGAAAAAGCGTGATGCTTCTATTTCCCCACAGAGTTCGACCCTCGTGGAAGACAGTTGTTTCAGTAAAATTCCATTTGAGTTCATATCTCAATGGTCGAGTCTTGCTTGACAATTTCTCTTTAGTTATTCCCTGAATTGAACTTCGGTCCTTGGCAATCACATTGTGGACATCTCCAGCTTTTGAATATTGGATTCAATGTGCACCTGGCTCCCCAGGAAGAGTTTCATGAAGACAACTATTGAAGACAAACATTTCTCCAATAATATTATCAGAATTCCTCAATAGTTTGCATCCATATTGCAAGTGATCTCTTTATTTGAGCAACTCGTTTTGACCAGGATTCCCTTCAAAACGACAAATGGCAGTCTCTTCGGGACAATTTATCCATCCCCAGTGGATTTATCAAGATTATTAATTCATCAAATGGCATCCCTTCGGAAATCCACCAGAGAAGTTTACCGAAGACATTACAAGACACCTCTCTTTATTTGAGAGTTCACCGAACATTTTACAACTACGACAAGAAATACTCTCCAGGAATGATTTCCCCAGTGAGTTTATCACAAGAATAATTCTATCAAACGACATCTCTTCTTAAGATCCCTATTGGAGCTTTACAATCTCCAGTACATCCGTCTTGGTCAGATACCTTTAGACTGCCAAGATTGGTAGTAGGTTATCTTTTCTTTTGGGTATTACCTTTTCTTAGGCTATCATACATTTGATAGTAGGTAGTACACCTTGTTTTGGTTATTACCTCTTCTTAGACTATCATATATTTGATAGTAGGTAATACACCTTTCTTTTGGTCGAACACCTTGGCTTAGGTTGCCATATGTTTGGTAGTAGGTGACCTCGACATCTTTTGGGTTATACCTCTACTTAGGCTATCATATATTTGATAGTAGGTAATACACCTTTCTTTTGGTCGGACACCTTGGCTTAGGCTGCCATATGTTTGGTAGTAGGTGATCTCGATATCTTTTGGGTTATACCTCTGCTTAGGCTATCATATATTTGATAGTAGGTAATACACCTTTCTTTTGGTCAGACGCCTTTCCTTAGGCTGCCATATGTTTGGTAGTAGGTGACCTGTCTTTTTGGTTATTACCTTTGCTTAGACTATCATACATTTGATAGTAGGTAATATATCGTCTTTTGGTCAAACACATTGGCTTAGACTATCATATGTGTGATAGTCGGTAACATACATTTCTTTGCTTCAACCGGATATCCTTTGTTTAGGCTACCACACGCTGGTAGTGGGCTACCCTTCACCTTCAAGATCTCGTTTCACTGCCCAAGCTACTGTACTCCTGGTGGTATTATTATATCTATCTTCATTTTGGCGAATCCACAATGCTGATCATTGTCTCTTCTCGTGGTGTCTCACGTCGGTGATTCTGTTCTTTAGGTGTCGTGTCCAGTTTTTCCCTGTGGCATCATGTCCTCACAGGATCGTCTGTCTTGCATTTTTTTTCATATTATTACATATCATATGCATTCGGTGGCTTCTTAGGGCCAAAAATTCGTGCAATGTTTATATTTAAGTCCCTCCTATCTCGTCGAGACGAAGATTTCAATATCCATATCTCCGGATAGAAGTAACTTAAATAGGGGCATCGGTCGCACCCTAATTTTTGACCTTAAGATTCCACCTCCTTGTCTTACGCACTTTCTTTCATTTTTGTGTGCATGTTTGCTACGACTAACGAGGGCGTGCAGGTGCATTACATTCAAATGGAGATGACACTCACAATCCTATCCTTCCCGACATAGTCGTTCGATTCTTATCCAGATTATGCTTATGGTGATTGCATCGTTTAAGTAGTTGGTGGCAGGTTCAAGGAGAACTTCATTTAGTTCATCAGATATTGAGCCAAGTTTCTATCAAAGGTCACAACAAAACTCGCAAGCCGGTTTGAGCTCAAATTGTTGTATTTGGCCCGAAGATCAAAGGGAAGTCTAGATTGATGTGTGAGGATTTGGATCTTATTTTACCATAGGGAGTTCATCATATTCAGGCCCATCATAAGATTCATACTACTAAATGGTCGCGTACTACGTGAATGGGAATCCCATAAGAACCAAATTCATAGTGAACTTTTGTTCGTTTGATGCATTTGAATTTCATCGTGATAGGTTTTCTCTAGCGTTCAAAGGAGTATTCCAAATACATTTATTAAAGACCCATCCTTATTTTCATCAAAAGTTTAGAGAGGCATTGCTCCGACTCTTAAAATGCATCAGATTCAAGGGTTCTATGGACAAATTACGAAGGCCATAAGTTTTGTGCCATTACACATATTCAAGAGTCTCAATTTGGAAAGCCATGTTATACCAACCTTCTCTACATTATCACTTCTCGTACTTACCCAGGATATCTTAAACCTTTATAATTCCCAAAGAAGTCAATTCATTCTTAGCTTAGTTTGATGGCTTAACAAATAAAGTCTATCTTCCATTACGGCTTGCAGAATGTTAGATTGGCATCCATTTTGGGAGAGCAAAGGTAAGTACTGATGAAAGAAAGGTAACCGTAGCATGTTGCAATTATACGGTAATCATGTTGAGTTTTCAATCATTACATTGCCTGCATTGGAGTATCTCAAAGGGGAAAACAAATTAATGCAGTTATCAAGCTAATTGGATTTGAGAATCCTATTCCACCATGTGCAAGTACTGGCCGTGTAACTATGCATCAAATTCAATCGAAGTTCTTAAGAGACGTACGACAGGCTTATGGTGGGTACTGATATTGCATTATGACCAATAAGTAAAAGCCATACAATTAGTGTTGTTCAATTTGCAACCGAGATCTGAAGAAGCCTTAACATCTTAAAGCCTCTTGTACATGTTACACCGTAATTATTACAAGCAGAGTTTGATTCAAGAGTTCGGAATCATATTTTCTATTCAAGACATAAACCCATCATGAAATTTGCAGAATTATTGAATTTTGATCCGGTGATGATTATGTCTTCACTACACCACCGCAACGGCAAAAAGGAAAGGACGTAGACAAGCAACAGGCTGATTGAAGTTATCCGAGAAACCGTTATGCGCTTCGATGCCTGCAGTAGGGACCTCAGCTGGAGGAAGGTTAAATAGGAGCAATGATGTTCAGGTGATCCCGTTAGTCCTTGCAAGCAGAACGAATATTGTGCAAATGACCAATGGATATCGCCTTTAATTCTGTATGGCTGCAACAGAAGACAGTAGGGTCAATTGTCAGTGATTAGCAGGAGAAGATTATGTGGAATCTAGAAGGCATTTCAATGGCATATCAGAATACATTCTTGACAACAACTAATAGATCAGTTTCCTGAGTCAGGGACGTACCTTTCTTTCTGCTCCAAGCCTGGCCAAAGTCGTTCCCAATCGAGGTTGTGCGCAGGCTACAAAATGAAACATAATAAAACCGTCATGGAAATAACCAAACATATGACAATCACAAGGATTCCACAGCAAATGATAGAGGGGTGCATTCGTTGACACGACAAAATTATCGATCATAGAAAACAGGATCAAAATGAAGCAAACTTGTCCAAAACAACCCTGCTATTCACCACCATACACCACGAAAGTCTTGACGATTACAACAAGGAGTTTGTAGTGAACTATCCATCTTCGACCGTCTTACGATCTTAGCGCTAAGAAGTCCCCAACGCAGGATATGCTGCCTCGCAGACTAAAACGGTAGCATGCCCTTAAACTGCCGCCCACCTATTACTGCAAATCAAAAGGGTAAATCGAGTTAGTAAACACCAAAGCAGAGATTTCCTTTCAATACAGATGACGTTGATTTATCTCTAAGAACTCGGAGAATTGCAACAGACTATTAACGGCACTTCAAAGTGAAGAGAGTTATAAGTGATGTTACCATTCGGCAGATGACCGTTGCGATACCTCAGTGACGGAGACTAAACCACACAGAGAATGCATTCACCTTTACACCACCTGGATTCATGGTTCCGTGTCGTCATTCCTTGCAAACCAAAGCGCAGGAGCAATCATTTAACCTTTAACCCGACAGCATTCATGATAAATCTGAAGAAAACTCAAGCACAAGAGCATTACCAAACCGAAGACATCGCTACTAGTTCCTCATTGCCGGTTGTTCCAGTAAAATCTTCTGAATAGTGCAAAGGTCTCACCATCCCCTGGATTCCTGCTAAACAATCACCATTAGAATGATACATTGTTAGAGAGGGATTTAAATTGATTAAAGAAGAAGAAGAACAAGTGAACATTAAGGCAGATGAAAGACTTACAAAATATTCCTCTTCTGAGTACAAACTTACCGAAAGCTGGTGATATACCATGAAAAAGCAACCAACAGTTACAGCAACAGCTGAGTTTCAACTCCTCACTGGCAAGATGAAACTCCTTCATAGATTTCCAAGGACGGACAATTTGTTTTCTTCACCGCCAAAACCATCGTTAATTGTTGAAGGGATGACTAAGCATTTAGGCCAATCTGCAACACAAGAAGATCAACGAGTAACTATTCGACTATAGAACCGAAAGAAAGGTATGAGAAGAGGTATATGAAGAGAACCCTCTCGGTATGCCGAATCAAGAAGCCTCTTGAAGAAATGTTGTCTATCACACTTCTGGCCACACCCGCAAGCTTTTGGTTTGTCCTGTAAGCATATCCTGGTATGAAGAGAAATGTGTTAAGTCCTGATGTCACAAAGACACAATAATCTAAATGGCCAATTCTTACATAGAAAAATCATGAAAGAATCCAAACCAACTCTAAAAATGATGGTGAAAGTAATACAGGAAAACAAGTCACGACCTCTTCGTTACCGCCGCTAAAACCCTTCTCCAGTTTGAACTGTAGCGCCCTGTCTTAACACCGAAAGTACACCTGTGAAGTCTCATTCGCATGTCCAACTTGATTTCCAGCACCTGCCTCTAAGCCACCACCTACATCACCAATACATGAAAATGAGAGAAGGACGACGAACTTTGATGGTCAATTTGAAACCAAACACGAAGCAGAATTGAAAACCCATGGAAAACCATTCAGCTCGCACCATGCCTTTGCCCATTTTCTATGTCTCCACACCTGCAAAAACACGAGAATGAGTGAGGACCTTCATAACAGCAAGTAACAGCTTTATTCAAAGAAACAAAAAATCTATCAACCGTCAAACTAATCACGGCAACACGATGCAACCTGTCAAAACTAACAGCAATGCTCAGAACTGTCAAACCCGCCAAACCAAAGGGAAGCCACAATCGACGTTTAAGAGAGCATCACGAAACCACCATTTGGATGCAGTTTATAAGGAGGATTTCATCACCGTCCAGCTAGAACTGCTACAGGCTTTCTCCCTGCAAGAAACCTCGAACAATCAGTGCAGTCAGATTACAAATCGTGCCACCTATACAAATCACTAAATCAATATCAATTGTGATCCATATTAGCCAAACTTGTTGAGTTTAAAAAGGAAATGAGTCAACATGATTAAAACGTAATCATACAAAATTGGAATGTCCTTTAAAGTTCACAAACATGTTTTAACGGTTTGAGAAATCTATCAGACAAGTAGACCAAGCATTCAAATTGAAATCAATAAAATCAAGCATATCGGCTCAGAAAGGAAAGGAGATTAATCATATCTCCTCAAGATGGTTATAAAAGGACCTAACTCGCGATGAAGAAACAATCGATAGATAGCAGCCAGAAATTCAACGATATCACAAAAACACAAACATCCAAAATAAATTTCAGTAACACACATAAACCAGAAAATCCCAAATCATAAACCCAAAGAGTGTACAAACAAGAACTTATCTTATTGTAAGCTCCGCCGTGTAAATCACGATCGAACTCCTCAAACCCTCCTACGCGTCATCGCCGGATTCTTTCGCTATTTCCGTCCACAAACCATCGAAGAACCCATTCAAAGCCACCATCGCTCCTCCCTCATTAAGACAAAACTCCTGCACACAAAAAACCATAGAAATGTGAGGTTACGCTAACATTTATGTCGTTTTTGTTTTGATTGTTTGATTTGTGCAGGAAAAGTGAAAAAAAAGAAACGAGAGAAGAATGGAAGAAAGGAGAAAACGGAAGAGAGCGGGAGAGATTAGAGATGGAAGAAAGCGGATCGATGGGGGGAGGGGTTTGATTTGGGGATTAGGGTTCTTTCTGTGCTTTTTTTTCTGTTTTGTTTATCTTATTTTTTTGCTGTGCTGTAATAACTTCACACACGACACCCACTGCATCGCTACGCAAACCACCGCCTGCGCTCCACACATGGTCGCGTTTAATTAATAATTAACCACCAAACCTTAATTAACCTTAAAATAATCTGTTTTTTTTAACTAATAATTTGTTATAATATAATGATAACTCCTTTTTGGATTTAATCAACCTTTAATCCCTTCATTATCCTTAATTTTATTTTATTAAAATAATAACTTTTAAATTTATATTTTATATAATTAAGCAATTGAAACCAAATTTTATAATCAACTTTCTATTTTATTAATAATTCAACTTTATTAATTTGCATATTTTATCAAATCAATCAATAATCTTGTTCCTCATGTTCTAAATAAACTTTTATTAAATAAATAAAACCTCTTTTCTTAAAATAATTTAATTTGTATTAATGGTTAAAATATTTAATAGTAAAACCTTTCATTAAAATTAATATAATTAATTTAACTTTCTTTTATAAAATCAATTCACCTAAATCTACATTTTCTTATAAATCAATCTAACAAAAAAATAAATCAACTTCGCATAAAATCAATCGTGCACCTCACATACACAATTCACTCTCACACACTTCAGCGCTTTCATGCGTATGTGTATGACTTTACCTTTTAGCATTTTATCTCCCGCAATTTAAATATTATCGCATTTACATTAATCGCATCGCATTACGTCCAAAGGAAAACCCTACACATGATTCAACAATTGTGTGTAGTACATTCACATTTGCATCATTCTCCCCACACGATCCTTGATCACATTCAAGTCGATCAATTAAGTTAGATCCTACCCCATAGGAAGGACCTTATTCTTACAACATAGGAAAACAATTCCACAACAGTACAACAATATTCAAACACAATAGAGAAAGATGCCAAATCATCTTAAGTGAGATAGAATCTCCACCCCACATCAATACAGTCAATACCGTAGGAACTTTGCCTTAAGAGAGATAAAGGTGTACCTCGTCGATCCCTACCCGAGTACGTAAATCCTTTTCTTAAGACGATGCAAAGACTATTTTCCTACAACTTGTGGTGGTTAAATCTCTCTTAAAATGACAACTCACCTTTTCTCCTAAAATCAAATGAATCAACTACCCTAAACCCGTACGAACTTTGACCACAGTCAAAGAACTCCTCAAACCCTTTAGGGGAACTACAGATACTCTGATTCCACTCCCGTAAGGATATGTAGGCATAAGATGCGACATCTTATCGGGTATACTTAGAAATAAACCACTAGAGCTTTAAACCTTAAGCAGATAAACAATAGCAATAAACAATATAAAACAAGAGGTTCTTGTAGAATACTACAGAAACTTAGGATGCTAGTACCTTCCCTAAATTTAACCAACCCCCGAACCTAAAATTCTCTAGCTTGCATTTGCATTGCATTGTGGGAATTTCGATCTTTATCCCTTCCTTTGGACAAATCAAAGTTCGGTTGCAAATTGAATTAACGATTCAAACTAATCAATAGTTTGATATCCAAATTTCACCGCGACAACTATGAACTACGGCAAACAAACAAGAAGGCTATCAAAACAACTAGTTATAAGCTATCAAAACAACTAGCTATATACTCCCCCTTTTTAGCCATAATCTTACAAACATTAAGCTAGCATCAGAAAAGAGAAATATTCAATACAAACCAAGCACAGAGAGTGCCAATATATCCAGGGCAAAGCCCAATAAGAAACAACACCATCAAAATTCTTCAAAAGAAACATAACCACAAAACTAGTTGTCTTCAGAACCACCATTACAGTTATCAGAATCATGACTTCCAGCTTCATCATCACCACCTTCCTTCTCAAAGTCATTACCACCAGTATCATCATCACCTTTCTCTAGAGACCTGATCAGCTTTTCCAATTATCTTTTAAGAAAAAAATAACATAGACTCGGGGGTCGGGAACATATCAACTTAGGGGTTGAGAAAGCATTTATAGTCGGTTGTGAAAATATCCCAAAAAGGACTCCTTCAGGAGAATGTTTACTGGGGAAAGCTATGAAAAGGAAAAGTTCCAAACAAGTTTTAGGGTAGTCTCTACATGGGGAGCAAAATCAGCAAACATGCTAGGGAATATCATCATCAGAAGGTCAATGGAAAAGATTCATTAGGGAATATTCAAAGCGAGTTTTATCACCTGGTTATAGATTACATGCAGACGCTTTTTTAGAATATATTCGAGAGTTATAGATATTTCTAACAAGAAATTCATCCAATCAAATATCTTGGAGATTCCTAAACAAGGAATTCTTCCAAGACAAAAGCAATCGGGAGTCTTCTTACAATAAGATCATCCACACAGACTTTGGAGATTCTTCTAAATGAATCCATCCAAATAAAATATTGTAGTTTTCTTACAAGAAAATCATCCAATATTCTAGGGAATTCCTTTAAATGACAGAGTCAAAACGACGACTTTCTAGGAAACACCAGGATAAAAAGAGCATAAACTCTGAATGTGCCAGACAAAGCTAGTCTTTAGCCTTAGGAATTAGTAATATAAACCGACTTCTAATGGAAGCTACCAGAAATAAACTGGGCTTTTGACTGAAGACATCAGTGATATATATTGGCTTCTAACGATGGGTGTTAGAAACAAACTGGACTTAATGCCAACAAAAACCGAACTAAGGTTTAAAGGCGCTAAAATAAAATTGGATTTTTGGGGTAAATGGATATGGAATCAATAACAAGACCTAGATCCATGCAAATAAATCACGAAGTTCACTCCGAGCTATGCATGATTTGAATTTGCTTGTATGCGTGATTTATGAATGATCATGATATGCAAATGATGATGTTATGCAAATTGGGAGTTTACAGAGATTGTTTATGGAAGTTTTGATTCCTCAACACCAAGGAATAAACCAAGCATTTTGTGATAGATGTAATTCAAAGGAAAACTTTATCAAGCTCGAAAGTTATAACTGATCAGGGGTCCATCGGAGGATTAAAGTTTATGCTAGCATAATTTCTCGATACTTGTCTTGAAATCTCAACCATTAAAGAGATTGATCAAACGATCATATTAAATAAAATAAAAAATATATATGACCCATTCTTTTCCCTAAAATATAGGCTATTTATATAGTCGTTTGAGCGAGCGCTATTAACAGTTAAAATTTAGCGTAAATCTTTTAGACTTACCCTTTGGCTATTCTATAGTTGCCACATTTGTACACTTATTATAGAGGATTTAAATTTCTAAACTTTTAGATATCTTGTGTTAGAAGCTTAGAAATATTATATATATATATATATATATATATATATATATATATATATATATATATATATATATATATATATATATATATATATATATATATATATATATATATATATATATATATATATATATATATATATATATATATATATATATATATATATATATATATATATATATATATATATATATATATATATATATATATATATATATATATATATATATATATATATATATATATATATATATAAAATAAGGGTTAAATGTGTTTGTGGTATTTCTAAATATTTCAATTTCGTTTTTATTCCTTCAAAATATTTCCTTAAAAAAATAGTCCTTCTAAAATTTTTCATCCACATTTTTGATCTCTAATCCTGAAACTGTCGCTATTTCAGTCGCTAAGTAATAAATCATCGCTAAAACCGTTGTTAATTCAGTCACTAAGTTATAAAAATCGTCGCTAATTTAAAAAAAAGAATAAAAAATGTGGATGAAAAATTATAGAAGGATCATTCTTTAAAGGAAATATTTTAAAAGACAAAAATCAAAAATTAAAATATTTAGAAGAATCACAAAAATATTTAACCCAATGTATAAATATCAATTTAAAATATCTAAAATTGGAGAAATTTATATCTCTATAATAGGTGTACAAATGTGACAATTATATAAAAATATTAAAAAAAAATTTGATTACACAGTGCCGCCCATTTAATAGGCAGAAGACATTTTTTTACACACTACTGTTTATTGAATGAGCGGCACCTTTATAACAAAAATAAATATTTTTTAAAAACATGGTAGTTTAATATTTACTTTAAAATATATGAGTATTTGATATTTTGTACCAAAAAGAAGGCAAGACAGGAAAAAATTCTCAAATTAATGTTAACTAGGCATAAAATGAATCTCATGATGTCACATAAAAAATTGTATTTTTATATTTTTGTTTACTTAATCTCCATAAAGCGTTTAACTTTTATAAAAAAGGCAAATTTCTTTGTCCTTAACTCATTCACAAATGCTTTTGGGAGGTAGTTGCCTATGCTGAAAAAATGGAGGATCCTTCTACATTCCAAAAACATCTATTCAAGTTCATAGCACTTTTAGATTATACCTAAAGATTCAAAGAAAAGACTCTTTCAACTAAAAACCAAAGATCTCACGGGTTAGTTACTCATACTTAAAAAAAAAAAAAAAAAAAAAAAAAAAAACACTTAAGAGTATCTCATTAAATTAAACAACCTAAACTTATATTTATAATTTGTTAATTAAGTCAAATAAACAATTTAAAATTTATCTCGTTTACCTATTATTAGAATTTGAAGCGCACTTTAAATGATTTTTAATCTTTCAAAAACCAGCAGTAATATTTTTATACTATATGTAAAAATATTCAAAATATTTATATGTAATTATTAACTGAGTTTACATAACGAAACACAATTCTCTTATAAATTAACCTAATAATAACTTAGTTAAGTTATAATATTCTGAAATTCGTTGTCCTTTCGTTATTAGATTCTTTGAGTCACGCTATAGTTACATTCACATCCTAGTTGTGAAAATTGCATAATTGTGAAAATCTCATGTTTATATGCACATAAAATGTGTTTATATGTGCAATTAATCATAATCTTTAATATATACATAAAATTTAAAAACAGTTTTTTTGGCAGAAATTGAAACGCAGATACATACGTCGACAAGTTAGCATCGTTTTCTCCTCATAAATGCATTCCCACTTAGTACCATATGCTATGATTTAATATATACATATTTCTGGTGTGACACATTTTGTCGTATCAAAACGTTACCATCCAATCCTTCACCTTAGAAACCAATGAATCTGAACCGTCTATGCATGATTTCTAGAAGAAACTATTCACACCAAACTTGAACATCTAACCCTATAAATGGTGACCCTCCAAGGCATGCAAAAAATCAGTGGTAACTCAAGAAAGTAACCATTCTCTCTAAAATAATGGACTCAATGATTGAAAAACAAAACAAGTCCATAGTTGAAATTCTGTACAAGGCATTATTAGGCCAAGGAGCAACGGAATTCCAAACGGTATCAAAATTGCTAGCAAGTGATCTCGAGTATTGGTTCCATGGTCCACCAAAATGCCAGCACATGATGAAGGTGTTAACCGGTGAGATACATCACAAAAAAGGCTTCAAGTTTGAGCCAAGAAGTGTGAGCTCGATTGGTGATTGTGTGATAGTTGAAGGATGGGAAGGTGAAGCTTATTGGGTTCATGTCTGGACATTGAAGAATGGCTTGATTACGCAATTTCGAGAGTATTTTAATACATGGCTTGTTGTGAGAGATTTGAGGCCATTGAGATGGGAAGAGGATCATCATCATCATCATAAGCATGATAGTATGATGACATTGTGGAGAAGTCAACCTCGTGATCTTTATCGTAGGTCACTTCCTGGACTTGTGTTAGCTATTTAGAACATATGACAGAGGTTGTGTCTTGTGTTTTATTTGCTTCTTTTAATGTAATGTGTTGTGTACATCATTTTCATGTCTTGAAGTTATCACCAATTTGGAAGGAAAAAGAATGAATAAGAGGTTAAAGATATGATGTTTGTCTACTTTTTTACTCAATGCTTATGTTTAGGAAAGGTATCCCTCTCCAAATTTAATCCCTTACAGTTGTGTTTTTGCCGCATTCACGCGGTTAAGGTGTTATTAACAATTTGCCGATTTTATTTTTATAAAATTATCAATCGTTTATTTTGATTGAACGATTACGTTGAATGTGATATTTTATATTTTTTTATTGTGCAAAATCTGAGTCAGTATCGCTCAATCTCTTGTTTTAAATGAATCTTTTCAGTAATTTTATTTGACGATTTTTAGAAAATTGATTTCGCTAAAATGTACTTTGAAAATAGAACATTTGGAAGAAAAAAAATTATTTTATAAGAATAATGAGAGATAAAAGTAATTTTTTGCTTTTGAAAAATCTGAAGTAGTTGTTTTACTTGTTCGATTTTTTTATCGGTTTTAAAATTAAAATAAAATTTAGTATTTATTTACTTTTATTGTTTTTGGTAGTTAAATTTTGATATTTTACATCGGCTGTTAATAGTACAAAATTAAATTTTTTATATTAGTGAGGGATGGAGTATAATTTTTGGAGTAACAATCTAGATAAATTTCTTGTATGCAAAAGAAAAAATTTGAGTAAAACAGAATTATCTCTCTCCTTAAAATGAATAAATCCGAACATGTGAGAGGTTTTTAAGAATAATGGACCTGTCTTAGTTAGAATTAAGAGAGAAAACATTTGTAACCAACTTTTTAATAGAATTAAGAATTAGTTATGAATCAAAATCTATTACAACGGAAATATGGTTCAGAATTTATACTATCAGAACATTATAATACAATATTGAGTGTCTTTAATTTTTTTAGAATGTGTTGCATCCAAATACACTGGCAAGCACAAGATGTAGTTGCTACATATTCGGCTTCAATTGTAGAAAGAGTAACCAGTGGCTGCTTCTTGGATGTCCGTGCAATTATAGTTGCACCACTTAACATGAATACATAGTCCGAGGTACTTTTCAAGTCATCTATATCATCAGCATAATTGTTGCTCGTGTAAGCTATTAACTCGTCCTTGCACCTTTCCCAGTAGAAGATGTTGAGATCAATTGTTGACTTAATATACCTTAAAATTCTTTTGGCTGCAAGCATGTCTACTTCCTTTGGATTGTACCCATCTTCTGATAATTCTCCTTCACTTGTATAGTCTTGAAAGTAGATTAGAGTTTTTCTTGTTCTTTTCGCTAAGGTTGGTGGAGTTACCGCTCCATTTGATAAGGAATCCTCAGTTTCTAAGTTTTCTTCTTCTGATTCACTCGTGGTATTTTCATCTTCATGTTCATCTAATTCCTCAAGTTCTTTCTCAGAAGCTTCACCCCAATCAAGTACATCACTTTTTAATTTTGCATTTGTCCTCCCCCGATTCCAACAGCTGTCTTCCTTAAATATTACACTCGATTGATTGTTACCGTCATAGTTAAAGGATTTATCATTTTGTATCCTTTTGATTTCTCGTTATATCCAATGAATACCTGCTTCTGGCTTCTAGCATCAAGTTTGAATCTTCTAGCTTCTGGTACATGAATGTTTCCTACACATCTGAACACTTTAATGTGTTCGGTACTAGGCTTGAAACCACTTCAACACTCTTTTGGCATCTTGTCTTTTGCAGCATATGTGGGGCTTCTGTTGAGCACATGGTAGGCCCATTTTGCGACTTCTGGACAAAACATCTTGGACAATCTCTTCTCTTCTAATATGCAGCGTACCATATTCAAAATTGTGTGATTCTTACACTCAACGATTTTTTTTGTTGAGGTGTATAAGTTGTTGTCAATTGTCGCTTGATTCCTTGAGCTTTACAGAAGTTTGAAAATTTATATGAGTTGAATTCCCATCCTCTATCTGTTTTTAAACAACACAATTCCAAACTAGTTTCCTTCTCTGCCATGGTTTTAAATTCTTTGAAAATAGTGAAGGCTTCACTTTCTCATTTAGAAAGTAAACCAAGTTTCGGCTGAAATCATCAATGAATGCCAGTATGTACCTTTTGTTTCCATGTGATTCAGGAGAGATTGGACCGTATATATCCGAGTGAATAAGTTGCAGTTTTTGTTTGGCTCTCTAAATGCTTTTCTTAGGAATAAATTCTCAGTGTTGTTTTCCGACCATGCAGCTTGTACAAATTTTTGACGAAGCATTCAATTTTAGAAGCCCCCGAACCAAATACTTGTTATGCAACAACGCCAAATTCTTATAGCTCAAGTGACCAAACCTTTTATGCCATATTTCACCAAGGTTATTAACACTTGCTTTGAAGCATCTAAGTGTTGATATAAGAATGTTTGTTGTCACAAGGAACATTCTGTTGGTGGTCATCATGCTTTTCATTATGCAGCCTCTGTTCGGATGATATAGCTTGTAAACTCCATGCTTAATTACAATTGTGATGCCTCGATTTTAGAGCTTCCTAATACTCAGTAAGTTATTGCATAATTCAGGAATAAAAAATATGTGGCATACAATTTAAGTGCTTCCTCCGAACTCCAATTTGATGTTTTCTTTTCCCATTACTTCTAGCTTTGAGGTATTTCCAAGCTTGGTTGAATTCCTGAAGCTTTCATCCAACGACATGAACCATTCCTTGTTTTCAGACATATGATTTAAGCATTCGGAATCAATAAACCATACTCGCTCTTTCTTTTTTTGATGAGAATCTACTTGTGCCATCAGCAACATCTCTTCCTCCTCGTCAAATTCAGCATAATTCGCTCTTTTCTCCCATGTTAGGCACTCATACTGATGGAGTCCTAAATTATGACACTTTTAGCATTCCACATCAGCCTTACTTGTAAATGGTATGCCTCTACCTCTTCCTCAGTCTCTCATTATGTCTCTGCTTCTGCCTCTTTCATAACGTTCTTCATGTGTCATCTTCAATGTCTTTTCCTCTTCATTAGAACCCTTCATTATTTGCTCATGGATAAGGAGACTTCTTTGGAGTTCACCAATTGTTAGAGTTTCCACATTGTTAGACTCCTCAATAGTGCATACAACGTAGTTGAATTTTATCAAAAGAGACCTCAGAATTTTTGTCGTAATATAGTTTTCTTTCACAGTCTCTCCGCAGGATTTCATCCGTTTTGCTATGGAAAGAGTTCGTCCAAAGTATGCATTAACGAATTCTCTTTCTTTCATCTTCAGTGCCTCAAACTCGGTCTTCAAACTTTGAAGTTGAGTTCTATTCACTTTATTTGAACCGTTGAACTTTTGCTTCATTGAGTCCCATTGTCATCATTTAGTATTGTCTCCAGGATTTCTCTATCAACGGCTTGATAGAGATGATTTTTCACCTTTTTATCCTTCAGCTTATGTTCTGCAATTGTTTTTGCCTCCTCATCAGTTGGCTCTCGATTTTGTCGACCAATAGCCACTCCATCCTCGACCAAGTTCAACATCTCTTTAGATCAGAGGAAGTTGTCCATTAGCTTCGTCCAATGCTCATAGAAGCAATCAAATTTGAAAATTGCTGGTTGCACAAATTTATTGCTACTGCTACTATCTGTCATTCTCAAGAATTCCTTTAAGTTCTCTATCTTTCTCTGATCAGGCCTCTTTGATGAGGCTCTGATACCAACTATTGATCAAGGTAAAAATACAATAGACTCAAACTTTATTGATATTGCAAACTTTGTTCGATGAAGAAAATAGAAAATTGAGGTTGTATAAGTAGTCTTACATAAATCTGCATAAAACTAAAACTACTATTTTTCCACCCTTTATGTTAAAAAAATAGGAGTTAATCTAGATACTCCTTTTTACTAAGAATTTTATTAACGGCTAAAATTCAAATACTAATTAAAACAAATATTAATATTCTAACAGTTTGATTATGTATGTTTTTAGCATATGCTCTATTATTGAATTCATTTTTTTAGCACAGTTCAAGACTTGACAAATAAAATATTGAAAAATAAAGAAGTTAGTTAATAAAAATCATATCGACACATTAGAATAGGAATGGGGAAAATTCAAGATTCTACATTTGTTAGACATAGGATATTAATGGAGTTTATATTGAGTGACACTTCTCACATTTTATAAAATAAATAATTAATAATTAATATTGATTTGAACTTTAAAATAACAATTGAATAGACATTAAAAGGTCTTCAAATCACAGAAAATATATTCCATTAATGTAACTCAATTGATGGTTATACAAAAATATAAATATGCTGGTTGATCGTGTAACATTTCATTTGTTCATTTTAAAAATGTGAATTTCTTCCGCTAAAATACTTTAAAAGAATATTAACAAATATATAGAGGTATAATCAAATATGTGATTGTAAGCATAAAATTTAGTCTTTGAATTGTAACAAACAAATGAGCAACAACCGTTGCTAGACGTCATACAAAACTAGTCTCATAACAAAGTAGTAGATGTCTACAAAAGGAATAGATAGATCCAAATTCATTTTACCCTCAAGAAAGGCATTTGACTGGAATTTGTTCTAATAAATTTTGAAAAAAAAATTTCAGATGTTTTTTAATGCATCACGTGAATTTTCACTTATGCTTTTTTTGTTTCGAAAATATATTTTCGAATACACTATATACATATGCAACCAAGACAATTTTGAGATGCATTTTATATATTTGGTTTATTTTTTTGGAAATATATCTTTGGAGCGGTTTCTGTCACTTTTGCATATTAGGTATTTCTAAATATGCATCTCCGAAACTATTTGATATAGCTTGCAGCTGCATGATCAGTTCCTCATTATTGTCATTCTCCATTCTCAACATAAACCCTCATCCTAAAAACCCTTCATTATCAATCCATTTTTTCACTCCAAATCTCCATCATTTTGATTCAAGATATCACAGAGAAC